TTTGCGATATTTGTTTTATTTTTCCTATCTTGTTCTTCGAATCTAGTCTTAAATTCGGTATTCTCTTCCATAATCTGCTTTAATGTTATATTCTCTGCCTCAACTTCAGCATATTTCTTTCTAAGTTCGGCAATATCGAGTGTAAGTTTAGAATTTAATTCTCTCAACGAAGCAATTGTAGTTTGTGAATCTGCCATTGTTTTACATAAAATGCAGATATATTTAATTCTTTTATCATGAAGATATATAAGATATATATTCGTGTGATAAAATTCTTAAACATAATCAGAGATACATGCTACGTAAACACAAAAAATAAATAAATCCAAAATACATGACTGCGTGGAAAAATTCTCGATCATATGCGAGTAATGTACATCGATAATAATATAATAAAATAAATTCATGAAATATACATGCAAAAGTAAATTGATTATTTATATGAAATTGAGCCACTAGGGCCAGCTTTATTGATATGATATAAAGTAGATATATCTATAAAATAAATATTTTTTTTATACTTACATATAGGTCGGGATAATGCTGAAATCGGATAATGCTGAAATTTGGGGTCTCAATTTAAAAATATAAATCCGACTAAAACCCACCTATATACTCTTTTATTATAAACACTAACCTAACCTAACCATAAAAAAAGCTAAAAAAACACCCCTAAAAAACTTTAAAATTTCATATAAAAATAAGTTAAAATTTCAGCATCATCCCCGATAATAAATAAGCTTGTTCTAATGCCTGCATTAGTTATGGTGATCGTGGAGTTATTAACTCTCCATCATAAAGAGGCACATCTTCTCGAGCCTGTGGAGAACAAATAGCTATATTATATAAAGATGAATCGACTTTTTCTATAATTTCATTAAGGGCACAGATATGGTTCCGTAGAGTTGCCTACATATTTAAAAATTCTATTAATTAACCAGAACATATGCTGTATATATCAATTTTCTATGTTTCATCAAAAGGTGATTGTCTTACTCTCAACTTCCACAATTCATTCATAAATTCGGTAAGTGAAGACTGTCCCCGATTCATCGGAATTTGTACTGAGGCAAGACGTTGAACAAAGTAGAAAACACCAAATGGCATAGTCATAACCCAACATGCCAAAGTTCCACCTAAAACAGATGAGGTTATTTCTAAGTAAAAAAAAAAGATCGAATATGATTTTACGTACCAGCAACTTGAATACCAAACACTGGAACCTTATTTAGCTCTTCTTCTAAGTCTTTCATTTCCTCTGCTCTTCCTCTAGTAAGCTTCCTCAACAATCTCACATGGGCATCCTTCATAAGTTTTATCAACTTATCCCAGTCTTCACGAATTTTTTTATCAGTAGGAAGAACTCGTGAAGCTTCCATAAGACATATTTCCACCTCATCAACTATTAATGGTGACTTTATACGAAAATCAGGCTTATGCCCAATTCTTGTTTCCCCGGAATCATCCATATATTAACAGAAAAAATAATCTACACGTGGCTATATAAAATTTTTTATTATATAAACCTGTAATGTGTGGCACTTTATGGTCCGGAGTGAATTCTCAAGAATAGATGGCATGAGTTAATTGACCGACTTTGGTTAGGTACTAATTCCAGAAAAATGAAAAATGGCACTTTGAGATTGTGCCCCGTCTCACAAATAAGTTATGCATAACGATAAGCCTTCTAGGTAGTATAGATAAATTTTACATGCGGAATTTATTCTAACACGTTAATGAATATGTACAGTGCTTCCACCCTTTAAAGATATGCCACTTTTGATATAATTTTATCTTTTTTTATTCGTGAGTATGTTATTCTAATCTTTCATCATATACGTATATGTGGCTAAAAACATAAGCCTGCATGTAGATAAGGTTATTTGCAAATATAATGTTAATATATATAATATGTATGCTCAAGATTGAAAATTGGCAGTAGATCGAGTGATCCTGGTGAAATATATACGTATTAAAGTTACTAAACACATGATACCGCTCTCTCATAGCTCAATATCAGGTGAAATATATGTTAAGTTACTAAACACATGATACCGCTCTTTCATAGCTCAATATCAGGTGAAATATATGTTAAGTTACTAAACACATGATACCGCTCTTTCATAGCTCAATATCAGGTGAAATATATGTTAAGTTACTAAACACATGATACCGCTCTTTCATAGCTCAATATCAGATGAAATATATGCTACGTCACTAAACACATGATACTACTCTCCCATAGCTTAGTATCAGGTGGAATATATTACGGCACTAAACACATGATTTGTTAAATTTTGGGTCATACCCAAAGGTTAAAAAATAAGGCAGATCATTTATTAAATCTATCGCTATGTAAATATACATTTAGCACTAGTCATGCTTTATTCAATCAGTTAGCATTGGGTCTCCCTCCTCATTTAGATCTAAATTATCCAATTGGTTTTCAAGCTTATTCGGTTGCGAAAAAGTAGTTCTAACTCTTTCTTGAATAACTTTCATTAAATCTTCCAAAAGCTGATGGGGTAAATTTTCTAATTCGCTTGATATCATCTTTTCCTAAACCTTCCGTACTGAATATCTTATAAATATTTATAGCGGAACGTTTCTTCTTGTTAAAGACATTACGAGACATATCAGAGGGAAATTGACGTTTAATTTCTACATTAAGCAAGGTTCGAGCAGTTTGAAGAGGATGATTAGTTAAAAAATCAGCTAGTTTTTTTACTAATGCTTCCCCAAGAAGATAGTAAGAATCGAGAACTTCATATTCTGCACGGGACACTTCACGTGTTTTTTCTTCAAGAATTTTTTCAGCCTGAATTATTTTGTTATGTATTTTAACGAATACCATTTCTGAAGACGTAGGATTCTCTGTTTCCATAACCATGTTCTTAGATGACGGACCAAAGTCTTGCGGTTCTTTAGCTAAGTATTTAAAAAGTTTTTCAACCATGTATTCTTCTTCTTTTAAATGTATCTGTGTATTATTATCATCTTTAGGATAAATAGGTTGTTGGCATTGAGGACATGTTGTATCCTTTTTTAAAGAAATAATAATACATCTAAGATTGGGGTGTTAGATACCAAATGATTTACTATCATAGTGTAGCATTATATGATTGGCTTACTATGTAAGATTTTTAAAATTTTGTCGATCAATTTGTTAAAAAAATTTATAGTAGTAAAAACTATGTATTTTTAAAATATTATAACTTCTTTCTTAGTAAAATAAATTCGATTCTGTAACTTGCAAATGATATAAAAATAACATTGTTTTAAAACTATAATGCCATGTTTAATATTAATATATAAATTTTAGTAGGTCTCTATAATATAATTATTTAAATAAGATCTTTAAAACGTTCTAACTCCCGCTCTAGTAGAGCAAATTTAATTCTGTAACATGTAAATGGCATATAAATAGCTTGCTTCTAAAACTACGTTGCAATATTTAATATTAACATGTAAATTTTAGTAGTTCTCTATAATTTAATCGTTTAAATAATTGTCAAAATTTGTTAATTCATAATTTTAGCCAAATTAATAAAATGAAATAAAAAATATCTCAACATAGTTTTAAAAGTACATTATTTATATACTATTTACAAGTTACATAATTGAATTTGCTCTGCTAGAACGAGAGTTAGAACATTTTAAAAATATACTATTTTTATTATAAAATTACTATGATAAATTTTTTCAATAAATTGATCGACAAAATTTTAAAAATCTTTATTAGTGGGCCAATCATATAGTGCTGGACTATGATAGTTAATCATTTGGTATCTAACACCCCAATCTAAGATGGAAGCTATGAAGACAGGTCAATATTGTGATTGGTTCCAAGTTAGCTCCATTAGGTTCAAATAATGGTTCGGGTTCATTACACAATAAACACGTTTCAGGTTCTCCTTGAGGCATAAATATTTCTTTTTCAATATTTAATGGAGTCTGTAGTGGGGTGTTATTAGATTTTTCCAATTCCATTATTATTTTTTGAGATGTAATTTATGGGAAAGGGTAAAAAATATAGAGTTTTTATACTTTCTAAACATATTTACTCATAATAACTGGAGCTTCTTAGAAGAAATAATTCAAGTAATGAATAATAATATATTTTTTATTAATAATAGGCTTATCTTACTGCATATTGAAATAGGGATTTAACCCGATTTAATTTGATGAAGTCAGAATTACGTCGCTTGGTCTGTCAGGACTCTTTTCCATAACTACATTGTCTAATAATAAAGATAAGTTGTCACCAAGAAATATACTGTTTATTGCTAAGATCGCACAAGATCTTGAAGATCACTCACGTTTACTTTCATAAATCACACGTTGTTTTAAACTCTTATTCATACCCTATACAAATCTACTAATGATCCAAAGATGGAATTTTGGTTTATTATATAGAATGATGGTACCTTTTGTTCCCCATTACATTTCACAGGATCGGGGTTTGTAAATCGGTAGATCAAGATTCTCATTTTCTCAAGAGTGTCGGGTTAATTTGCATAATGCTAACTCAAAATTTTATAATATGTGTATTATGCCAGAACTTTCGGGAAAAAAAAGTTGACGGATTAATTACTCATTGATTGCGGAATTAATATCAAACGCGTCTTGATTTTTTGTGATTAATATCACGATTTTTTGTGTTCCGGAGTATATGCATTGTGGATCAAAAAATCTTCCAAGCTGATGAGCTATATTATGGGTTGACGTAATAACTATTCACCACTCCAAAGTGTTGGATTAGTTAGATCGGTAGAGTACCATTGCTCGGCCAAAGAGCATTGTGCTAATTCCTGATTGAGAAATGCAGAAATAAAATTATTATTAGCACCACCATTCTGTCTAAGAAAATCACTAAATGTGCTAATAAAATCATTCGGGCTATCGGGTGAGTCCATAATCATCAGAGAAGAAAGATTATTATAATAGGTAATTTCATCCTCTGACTCAGAACTAGATGATTTGGACTTTGATTCGGTTTCAGAGCTAGAAGACTCTGAATCGGAACAGTAGTAATCTTTATCAAAATTTTCTATATGAATATTTGGATTTAGCTGACCCATAGTTTTTTTGCTAACATTTTTGCAGTTTTCAAAATCTAGAAATTTTAAACTGAGACATGAACGAGCAATTTCTTTGATAGTTACATTAGAAATTTCACAAAAGCTGAGGTTAAGATGCTGGAGTTTCGGGCAGGAACGAATAACATTACAAATTGATGGTTCGCTAACAAATGAACAGCAACTTAGATCGAGATATTCTAATTTATGACATGTATGGGCCAGCGCTTCAGTAACCTCATCGCCAATATTATTACTACCAATGTCTAGATGTCTTAAATTTGGAGATGCCCTGATGATTGCTACAATTAATGCATCATTACGAAAAGCCATGACACTACTAAAGACAAGAAACTCTATACTAAGACATCTCTGTATTAACATACTAGTATTTTTGATTTTCCTCTTGCTAAATGCAATATCAAGATTTCGTAAATTTGGGTACGAGTTTATGATGCAACATATAGATTTATCTGTGATCCAATATGCTTCAGCAAAATGGAACTCTTGCAAATCATGACAATTTTCTGCGATTTCAAACAAAGATTTATCAGTAATATTTCTGCAATATGAAATATTTAGATGTTCTAATTTACATGATCGTACAATTGCACATAAGCCTTTATCGGATATTGCTTGAGCATCCCACAGATTGAGATATTTCAAATTAGGATATGCTTCTGCTATTATAGATAATGCTTTATCACTAAAACCTATACTATCTTTAAAATCTAAATGAATTATATTTGGAAAGATATCTACAATACCTTTTATTTTGTTATCCGATAGTGAATGGTAATAAGTAATTTCTAGATGAGTTACATTCAAGACACAAGCTGGCTTACACTTTTCATTCATTATTTTTATAAATCTTTTCCATCGAGTACGATCTCTCTCATGATAAGTATAATCATCTGGGAAATAATGACCATATTTCAGATCATTCTCCTTTAGTTCAATGTATTTCCATAAGCTAGGAACAGCACATTTATACCACAATCGGCAAACAAAAAGAGCGGGATAAAGTGACTTATCTACCGCTAAGAAATATAGAATCCACTTTAATAGTTCTGGTAAATTTATAATACTTAAATACACTATAAATAGTGCATATTATATACTATATCTTTAAACGAAAAAAATTTCTCAAGCTGGTGATCACTATTTCGGATCGGTAGAAGACTTAACTAGGTATTCAAATATTTCAGTTAAAGGTTTTTTAACACCAAACTCATTCACATGCTTTTCATTGTCAGATGATAATCCACAAAAAAATTTTACTTTAACATCTATATCATCTAAATCCTTGCCAATAGCAATAGCATATAGCTTTATTATTTTAATATATTCACTTACAAAGCTATCACCTTGTGTGGGAGCTAGTATTTGTATACCCTTTTTAGGTTCTAAAACCAGAGAGCTCAGAAGGGATAACCGATTTACCCAATTAATAGTATCTCTTATAAACATATCACTAAACGATCTTCTCATTGTTATGTTTATTGCTAATATAATTATGTCATATTTTTAATAGAAAAAATATTCTGAGTTTCTGGCGGAAGTTGGTCTAGTAAATTAACTCTATTTATTTTTTATATAGTTAGAAGATATTTCAATCAAAAAAAATTCTTTAGAACAACATAATGCTGATGATCTCTGCTCTGGACTAGCATTGATTAGGTGAGATTTTAACAATTGTGTCTGGTCTTTCAGACTTCCTCCTTCTAAATTTCTTTATAGGATGATACGACAATGGTTCATTTACGTGGTCCTCCAAGGAACCGTCCATTTGTTTATTTAATAAAAATATTAACTCATTATATATTTTTTTAAACTTTGCAGATTTAGAATCCGTATTTACCTGATTCCTCTGCGGTACCTTCTTTTTAGGATAATAGCATTTAATCGTTTCAGAATCTTCAGATGAACTAGAGTCGGATAAACTAGAGTCAGATCTATTTAGAGGCTCACAAAGTAAACCTCTCTTCTTATATTTTCTAATAATTAGCAATGGAACCATTTCTTGTATTAAGTCAACTAAAGTTTCTTTATCTATACATTTGTCCAAATCTTCTATTTCAGCTTTCAATAAATTGACCCTCCTTTTAAGCTTTTTATATTTGGAATAATAATCTTCTGATTTTTTTTCAAGCTCCCAAATCTGTCCAAAAAGCGCTTTATATACTTCTATATTCTGCTCGTCTAATCCAAATAACTTAGCAATTTTTTCTATACGTCTGGTATCTTCTGGCTCGTTAAGTGTACCATCCGATGAATGCTTTTGATCAGTTGTCATTTTCGTGATCTTTTATAGTATAATATATCTTAGGCAAATGAAAAAATAAAATTTAATAAATAATATTTAGCTCATCTATGCAATCAGTTTTCATCGAAGAGCTTGAATGCCTTTGTCTAATTATATGGTTCTCCTCTTCTCCGCATATTAACTATAGTGTATCTCTTAGATGGAGAAGCATGGTTATCGGGTGAATGCCAAAGGGCTTCAGTAGCATAAGTGTTAGCTTTCGACGCATTTTTAGGCCCATGTGCTACAGAAGCAAATACTGCCCCTAATTTGCATAAAGAGCTAGGAAGCAATGGCTTACCGCTTTCTGAAAGAAACTCATCTTTTTTTAGAAATATATTTAAGTATATAGATCCAAGCTTTCCTGGATCCCTTAACTCCCCGAAAATGATTGCTTTCTGAATTCATATAAGCAATTGTTTTGCCCGATCTTCATTCTTTTCCAGTGATCTAAATACTCGAGGGATGTCCTGTTGATCTCGGTTTTTTGCATATCTAGTTATGGCCCCATTAAATATATACAAGTTTTTAATTTTAGCAGGATGAATGCAGAGCATAATCATTACATCAGCTAGAGCCTGTTTGTCAGGTATATTGGATATGTCGTACCTATCCAATCTTTTCTTAACTGATTCTAATGAAAAGTGGTCCAGAAAATCGATCCTTTCATTTTCACGTTGCTCGCTACGTTCCTGTTGGATTTTATTGGATTCTTTGGTTATCTTCGGGTTTAATGTAGCAGAGATTATTTTCTTTGGAGTATTGAGAGTTCGCAATTCTTTTCAAAGCCTAGAAAGACGTGATAAGGCAATAACGGCATCAGAGGATGTTTCGACTAAGGTTCTAGATATTGCTTTTATATCTCTTTCACTAAGTTTATCTCGTATAATACGCTGAGCCGTTTGTTTAATAGTCTCCCCTTCTAGGATAGTATCAGATACTAAGCATATATTCGCATCTCCTCCTTCTTTAGAGGGTACTTGACTTTTACTTCGCCCAATTCTCTCATGAGGAATTAATGCAAATGCCTGTTCTTTGCTAAATTCATATCCTTTTTGAAGGCGATTACAGGCCTGATGCCTTTTTTCTTTATCTACTAGTAGCACACCAGTTGTTAAGAGCTTAAGTATTTCTGGCACATATTGGCTAAGTTTTCCAAGATCTATCTCTTTAGTGAGTTTGTGCTCTTCAACGAACTTGGTTGTAATAGCAGACATGATGTGGTATGTAAAATATAAGTGATAGTTAGATTAATCTTTGTTTGTCAGATTATATTAGATGAGAAAAAGTTC